TGGAGCCCCGCTCCGCTCCCAAGGCTTTGATCCGGGGGGCTGCCCAAGGAGTTCTCCGTTTCCACTGCGGCCTCTTCCCTCTTACCCTGCGCGCGACAGTTGTGTTTTCTAGGCTGAGGGGCGTCTGGAGCAGCGTGGGGTAAAATGGCCCGTGACGAGTCCTGCCGTTCAGCGAGGTGCTCCCGCTTGCAAAGCCAGCAGCCACTTTCTCCAGCCGCCCACGAGGAAGGGCAGGTGAGTCCCCCTTTTCAAAACCAATGCATTGTGTCTCCCAAGGGACGTCCAGGCTAAAACAGCGTTCTACCACCCCCATTCCTCGCTGCTGTAGATATATGTATTTGTTTGTACAGTTTATCTCTCTTGGTGCTGCCATGTTACTTTCTCAGCTGAGGTTTGCAAGGCAGTTAGGTGTATTAAAAAAAAAAACATGGATAATGGCCATATTGTCAAATAGCAGCGGTTGTTCTAAAGGAGAATCTGAATAAGCACTATCATTTTAACCATATGTGTTACCATCCTTCTCAAAAATACCTAGAGAGGTGTAAGAATCGCGTCCACATTATCGCTGAGCAGCGCTCTGCAACATCTCTTGTGCTTATAGTATGCATAGTAACATCTCTTGTGCTTACAATATGCATAGTATGTCCACTAGAGGTCACCGTTAGTCATTGTTCTCTGACGATTTGCTAAGAAAAAGCAGAAATCCGAACTCCAATTATAAAATGTAGTAAAGTATGCACATCAATCTGTTGTTGCACAGCAAGGTCACTTCTGATCTCTATCTAGTCATTTTGGTGTCTGTTTTCACATAACCAGAATGATTTTTGCTACCAGCAGCTGTGTGTAGTTAATGTTTCTAGGCAGCCAGTTAATTTTATAATCATCAATCATTACTCTAAACCTTTTCACCTTTCTTTGATGTGTGTGCTTCTGGATTTTATTCTTGCGGGAACAATTATTGAACTGCTTAAAAAAACCCTTTTTTAAAAAAAAAATAACAAAATATAGCTAGAACTCTCACAGTGATAATGAGTAATCCAGGTGCTTCTAGTTTTGTAATTTGTCGTGCTTCCAGTTCCATGCATTTTAACCCCCTTCATAAGTCGTTGTGGGTTTGCAGAGGAAGAAAGGGGAATAATGTGGTCTTAAGACCTGAATTTTCTAACTGAACCACAGAAACACAGAATAATGTTCATTCTAGAAATAGTTTTAGGAGAAAAAGGCTGCATGGTGAAGCAGTATGGAAGAACAGGTAAAGTCTTGGGCATTCAAGAGACAGACTTCAATATGTACCAATTTATGAAGCATTAATATGTAATTCTGTTGCTGCTGCTCTCGTTTCTTTTTAAAATAAAGCAGTGATTCCCATCTTTAGAGTAACATTGTCACACATTGGTAAGCAAAGCTAACCTGACAACATCAATGTTGTTTTCTCTGGGGTCTGGCATGTTCCAGTTTAGGTATTTTGGTTATAATTACCGACCCTCAATAGAGGGGATTTGTTCCAGCTAGCTGGTGTCAATAGCTGTAAACAATGCATTCTCTCACCAGGAACAGTCATTTAGCAGGAACAAAAACTCAGATTTTTAGACGAGGCTTGTAATTTTCCAGTAAATGTTCTGATTTGGGGTATTTTGAGATCAGTCACACCATTGTAGTGATGAAATAGATGTTTTATTGTAAATCCGTGGTAATTAAGATGGTTTCATGGGAATTGCATAGAATTTACAACTGTCAGATCAGTGGTTGTCTTAAATCTGTCCTATTTTCCTGGAGATTTCAGTAAGTGCTAGCTTTTTTAAAATTTTTTTTTTCCTCTCTCTCTCTCTGTTAAATTTCAGGAGTGATGATCTTAGGAAATTCGAAGATCAGGGCTGAGTTCCTGAAGGAGCCAGGGCTTTTTAAAAAAGACTTTTTTGAGTGTGTTTTGAAGTTCCAGCTGTGGTGTTTTGAAGGATGGTACCAAGTCAGTAAAACAATTGAGCCAATAAATACCATGTAAATAGATCAATATAAAAATTACTAAATAGTATTCAACCTTTATGCTGGTGGTAGATTTTTGTGGTTTAAAATGAATCTTTAGCAGAACTAAGCTGGCTGACAATCTAAAACATAATAAAAAAATCTCAAGTAGTCAGTTGAGTTTCTTGTCTCTTGTGGGGATTTTTGGCTCTGGGGATACCTGTTGGGATGTTGATTCAATGGAATTCCTTTCTTTTCCTGGTGTTAAATAGTCTTATATATTCCAGGCAATAGAACTTATTGCCCGGAAGGAGCCTCATGTTTAATAGGCATAATGTAAAAAAGATGTCCTGTATATCAACATCTGTTCTTGTTTGTGTTATGTTGTTACATCCTAAGCGTATTTAATGAACCTGAAGTATTTTCTATAGTTTCTAAATCGTCTGGCCCTATGCTGAGGACCCTGCTCTAAGTGCAGCACTATGTTAGCTTAAGAAAAGAGATTGCTTGGATGTTTTATGCAATCAGACTAGTTTATTTTTAATGTTGGGCATTTTTCATAGCCCAGGATCACAGTCTGTTTCTTCTGAAGTCACTACTTGCATGTGTCACTACTGAGTCACCAGAGAGTGTTCAGTGCCTGCTAAATGCAGGAAAATGGCTTTTGGTGGGGTGTCTCCGGTCAGGATTCTTGTTTTCTTGTATGACAGTGATACCTATGAACCCCAGGCGTGGAGCAGGACACCATAATGCGAGATTTGTACACGCAGATCAAAAAGATTTTCCTGATAAAGGAGAGTGCAGTCTGTTACATGTCAAAATGAGAAGGTTTGGTGGGGTTTTTTCCTTTGTTTTGGGGGGAAGGGTGCTAAACGGTTTGTGTTTGCCAATATCTATCTTTATTATTCAAAGAGGTGATAAAGAATAGAACAACTGCTCCAAAAGGTTTGGCATGCATGAATGGGCTATGGTTTACAGTCATCTTTATTTTAAATCTCAGGAAAAATAAATGGTTCCCACTAGATGTGTTTCCTTTTGTGAGTCTTCTCTGTGCACCAGAGCCCCACTAACTTCAATGTGATTTGTGGGCTACCTAGAAAACTTTTGAGGAAATGGGCCCATTCCTGCATGTGATTACAAAACAGAGAGTCTAATGATGGATGTAGTTCGGATTGTCAGTGGCACCTGACATAAGAGCACAAGATCCCTTGTCACTGAGGCACTTCTAAAGATCTGAATAATTTTGAATATGAATGTTTCTAAAAGTAGATGAATGACATTTAGTAGGGAGTTGGGTATTCGCATGAGCACAGAGTACAATCTGTAGTTGACATTTATAATTAGACTAGCTTATTTCATGAAACATTAGCGATTTGGGGGATTTGGCTATGTACAAAACTGAATCTGGTTTGATGTCAGGGTTGATGTATCTGTGGGTCAGAATAATAGCTTTTTTTAATGTGGGGTGCAGTTGCCTTCCCTGTCTTCCACTTCTACCGAGACAAAGCCTCATAAGGATTCAGGGACGTGATGCTGGTTTAATTAATACTGTTAATTTTCACTTGTACAGAGAGGGCTCCTAGCTGGGATAAAACAGTTCTGTTTAGCCTGAGCTCTAGGCAGGGAGATACACAGCACAGAGAGAAGGACATTGCTTGCCTGAGGAATGAGTTTAGAAGGAGATTTGCTAATTGGGAAATTCAAAGGCACGAACAGTATCTCACAACAGTGAGGAATACAGGAAAATACCTTCACCAGCATGATCCCTTTCTAAATGCCAACCAAAGGAAGGGAAGCCATCTGCAGAGGAGATGGAAAACGATGCTGTGAGTTGGGAAAGCCACGTGTGGGGGTGAAGCCAAAGGATGCAACGAGATGGGAAGAAACTGAGCCAGATGAATGCATATAAATATTATTTTGTCACAATCTTACTTTTTTTTTTGGTAGTGAACATAAAGGATTTTTTGTTGTTGTTTTCCTTGAATCCTTATCAAGGCCATAAGCTGAGTTCAGTTGCCGAAATGTTCATGTGTTAGTGCCATTGAGGATGCCCCCGGTCTCCAGCTGCTGCTCCAGCTGCTCATGAGCCATCTGTGTCGTATCTGCCAGCCCCAGGGTGTCCTGGCTGACCTGTAGGTGACTGTAGATGCCTGCCCTTGGCTCACTGATTTGAGCCCTGTGCACCTGCTGGGTATTGCTGAAGAACAGGACTGGAGGTTTAGATCACAGGGTGGCCCTTGGGAAGAAGTGACTGGTGAGTCACCAGCGGTGGTTGGGAAGGGACGGTGGGCATCTGGGAGTCTGCAATCCTGGTGGGTCGGGGTACAGAGAGCTTATGCTAAAGGCAGCAGAGCAAATACGGGCACCTCTGCTGCTCATGCAGAGGAAGGGCTACCCCGGGGGCCCTAACTGTGCAGGACTCAACCACAGGCAGCGAGGGTCCAGCTGGTGGAGTTTTACTGGACTTACAGGAAAAAAAATGTTCCAAGGAGAAATTTCTGGAAATACAGGTTAACCTCTCTCTCTCTCTCTTTTCCTTTTTTTCTTCTCTCCTTTTCTTAGCAAGAAATAGTAGATTTTTCCATTGTATGTATCTAGGCTCTCAGGGGAAGGAAACTCTCTCTTGCTATTACTGTGCTCCTAGCTTTATACCTCAGTGGAAATCAAGTTAGATAAGACCTTTTTTCTTTTTTTTCTTTTAAACCCTGTCACTAGTCCCTTATTTGAGAGATACTAAGCTCTTAAATATTGTTTTTCTCAAATACCGAGTTGATAACAATGGACCACTTATATTAAACTACAGCAAAAAATGCAAGACTGTGCTTTATATAATAGTTGAATATACAAAACTTAATTACTTTGTTTACATGATGCATATTTTCATTTATAGAAAGAAGCATTTTTTTTTTCCTAATTGCATACTTCTTGTCTTCCAGAGGTCCCAGAAAGTCTTCTCAAACACAGGTTTATTAAAATGAACAAGCTGGCTTACATGGATAAATGTTAGCGTAACTATTTAAAATTAAAGATGATGCTCAAATTTATTAAATACTAAAAGCATTTTATAGTCATTCAACTGTATAATACTATACACTGGGGCATTTTGTGTGTTCCTCCCCTTCCTCAGGACCTAGACCTGATGCTGTGGTGCAGCGAGGTGTCAAAACCTTTGCATTATAGGAGCTTCAGGACCATGTGGAGTATAGATCCATTATAGCTACTGTGAGGCCTGTAAAGCCACCCGAGCCCGAGTGTACAGCGTAGGGTGTTAAGTGGCAGTTTTCATTTCTGTGCAGATAAAGATTCACTTTCTGTAAAGTGACTTATTGGACAGTATTCCTGCTCTTTGTA